ATCAGCACAGGCAGAAGAGCCTCCGAACTCCGAGGTCACTCAGTGCCATCCAGCCACCAGAACCCACTGAGTACACAGAAGTGCCTTTCTTGACCCCGGCTATCGCTGGCTCACCCGCCTCGAGGAAGGCTTTTCGTCCTTTCGCCCTTAATCAATTCCAGGCAGGCCACTCGACTGGCTTGCAACACCTTATTGGCCTTCTAGATGAGGAGGATTCTAGACATGGAGTGACTGGTCCGTGGTGGGTTTCATTGTGCGCACCCTGGACTGTACGATGAGAGAGGCTGTCCTTTCCTGCCCCACACTGCTCCAGGGAGATAGCAAGTGTTTCTAAAAGGCCGCAATGGCCAACACTTTGTCACCTTTTGGGTGAAGAGTGGTTGCTCAGCCTTGGTGAACACCTTATGAGAGGAGTAGTAGGGAGAACGGCACGGCCGTTTCCTTGTGATCAGTGTTGTGCAGCAGTCCTGCCTAAGATTCACACATGCATGAATCTTGAACCCCGTTGGAAGACCAACCTATGCTTGCTTCCCTGCTGATTTCCACAGCTGCATCCTAGCTTTTACCTCCCCACTTCTCTCCATCCTGTCTCTGTTTAATCCCACACTTTTTCCTGCATGGAGATTTTAAGGCTTGCCTGAACAACGTGTAGGACTCAGGAACCACATTGTTGGTCTCAGCATATCATAGCCTGTGTGTGCACACGTGTTCATGTATGGAGATGTAGGAGAGGTGGGAAAGGATCAGTGGATCATTAAGGTGCTGTGGGTGAATCCTCCTCTCTTACAATTACTCTACATCATTCATTTATGTCTGGCATTTCTGGCATCTTAGTCCCTTCTAATCTCTTCAGTATCCCAAACAACCTCTGAGCAAACCTGGTCCTTGATCTTCCATGTCTGACTGTGCCTGCCTGAAGTGAAGAGGCACCAAGAAAGCTACTATGCACTTGCCAACACCCCGAGTTGATTCTAATACTCTCTTTGAACCTCCACTCCAAACTCAGGCTGATGGGGTGTGCATCCCCGCTCATTTGTCCATGTTTTCCAGTCAGTCAACACCTGCCTCTTACCAATGCTGAAGATGGAAAGATACTCCTGCGTCTCTAAGTAAGGTAGATACGTACCCGATCTTGGATGAGTATAAAGAAAATAAGCCTATTTTGAAGCAAAAGAATTCGTTTTCCCCTTTGGGTTTCAAACTGGAAACAACCAGCTCTCACAGTCAAATCAACCTCCTTTTTTCAGACCAACACCTGAGGACAGTCTGCTTACTTCTCCTTTGTCACCTCCAGGACTGGGGTGGTCTGTCATACCAGGGAGTGAACTGGCACAAAAGTTGCTGCAGGATAAGATTACTCCTGGCAAATGATCACAGAGACATGTTGTGGGACCTTCCACTGGATATTCCAGTCTAGAAAGATAAAATACTTTGACCAAACGTGGACTGTGATCGGTGCCGCTGCTTCCCTCTGCTGATATGACTGTCAGATGCCCTTCCTGTCTCCTTAGCTATGGATGACTTCTCCTTGTGGTGTCTGAAAAGATCATGTAGAATGTTTGCTCCCTGAACACATGTAACCTCTTCCAGCCCTGTCCCCTTATTTATGCAAGTAGCACCTTCCTCCCCCGCCTCCTTCTCCCCAGTGTCTATGCTGTCCTAGCACCATTAACTCTGCCTTAAACATATGGAACAATAAACTTAAAAGTATCATTTTCACGTGCCTGGATTTTTTTTACTTATTTCCTGAAAGTCTCTGTTCTTTCCCCCAGTGAGTGTATGACGGGTCACACCACCACCGCATGTATCCTGTGCACAGCCTTCCTCTGCCTGTCATGAAGAGGACACAGGCAGAACTCTGACTGGCTTACCAGCCTCCTTCACGGAGATGAAAGTCCTCAGTTCACATCCCAGCTCCAGTAATTTCTTCAGTGAGAAATGTAGTAAAACTGATTTCTGTTCTTCATCTCAGATTCAGCATATGAAATTAAGAGGAGCGCTGTTTTGCATGTGCTTCACTCAAGAATTTCTTAGTGTGATTGTTAATGCTCTCCAGAATAGGAGCGTGGGATTTCTCATCTTGGCCCCTCATCACCAGGTGGCAGATGACATACCTTCAAAAAACAACTCCCCACATACACAAACTTGTGTATCTTGGAAGCAATCATTAGTTTCTCTGTAGAAACTCACCCCCTCCAGCCTCTTGCCTTCCACAAGCAAGAACACAAATACAAACACACACACACACACACACACAAAAAGAGTATATTCAAGAATAGATGTATACTTGTTGAAGGTGACATCCTGAGTGCAGTCAGGTCCTGGGAGGCTATCTGAAGATGTCTGGAGAGAAAATTTACAGCAGGTATCGGTCTGCTTAAGAATATCTCTCAAGGGCAAGGGTAGCACAGTAGGATCCCAATTAACACACAGACGCCACAATTACAAATTGATTCCAAAGGTTTCAATGCAGACGACTGTGATCGATCCAGTGAATTTGTGTTCACTAAGCACTTTATGGGTGAGTAGAGTAAGCAGCACGTCTAGGAACTATGGAACACATTCAAAGCTTTTTAAAACTCACAACACTACTCAGGTGAAGTCCTGTATAGGGCCAAGAGCATCAGGAGCAGAAAGGCTTAACAGATCTAACAATGGCGATGCCAGCTAAAGAGATCCAAGCAAAACAGGACTATGGCCGTTCACTGGAGAGGAGGAGAAATCTCTACCCCAAATTACAGGCTGTCAGAAGAGTCCAGAAGGGAACTACTTCACAGCTGAGCAGGTCAGGAGCACGTGCGGGGAAGAAGGGAAGCCATGGTGCAGTTAGGGGTAGGAGAGCTGATCACACAGGTGGGAGAGAGAAGTGACACACATCAATGCTGTGGGTGAACAGAAGAGTGGGAAAAAAAAGTTCTTAACCACTGACAAGTACCCTTCTCCAGCTGTTCAGAAAGCAAATCAAGAAAGCGAGTGGGCTCTGCGTCAGCCATTCTCTAGCACAAGGGGACGCCTCTTCTCATCTAGGAGGGTCCTCACAACTAAGACAGAACTGCGAATGCCACTGGTAACACAGGGGTTAACCACTCCTCCTGCAGCCTAGCTGGAGCTGGCCCGGCATCCTTCCCTATCCCTTTAATCGTATCTGATACAGATGCAAGGCCGGGAGGGGAGGGGAGGCAAGTAGGGAAAAAAGAAGCCATTTAAAAAAAAAAAAAAAAAAAAGACGACAAGAAAACTACCCTCGCTCCATGGCAGACGCCAAAACCATTGCACAAAGGCACCATTTCAGGGCTGAAATTTCACCGGGCCAATGTGATTAAAGGATTCCATGGAGGGTGGGGGGAGAAAGCTGAAGGCCACAATACTGCAAATTAACCTTTTCTTGGTAAGGATGGCCTGGCCCAGGAAGCATTGCTGCTCCTCAGTCTACTCCCCACACCTGCAAGGGACTCCACATTCCCTTTGACCTGTCATTTTGCCCAGGGACCCATTCAGCTCTTGCATTCTCATCTCCAAAACCAGCCCCTCCTGTGCCCACCAACAGAGGAAGCACGGACTGCTGCTTTTGTAGGGAGCAGTAAGAGAATGACATACATGGCTAGTTACTTGAGCTGAGTTCCCAGGCAGGTGGATATAAACTCCCTTCGGGACATGGATGCTCGTGGGCATGCACTGACTGCACACAGAGCACAGAGAATGCACACTTTATATATAAACACAAGCTTTAACACAAACTATCTGGAAATATTCTTCCTGGACAAGCATAAAAAGAAAAACTAATGTGAAGCAGAAACCACAGGTAAGGTGCACCTTGCCCCTTCTTCTCTTTAAAAAAAGAAAACAAAAATTCCAAGAGCATTTTTTAATAAAATAATTGAGAAAGACTCCGTGTGTTCTGCCCAAGAGCTCAGATCTTTCTCATGCAGAGCAAGAACCCTAACGCACACAGACCAAGAAATTAAAACTAGGTAGTGGCTGGCTGGAAGCCCCTGCAGATTGTAATGTATCCCCCAACTCTTGACATGCAACCTCCCCGCACATCAGAGGTGAGAGCTCAGGTACCTGAAGGGGACAAATGACTGATCTTTCATCACACTACAGATTAAAGGAACTCCAGGATTTAACTACTGTTGTGCCACCATAAGAACCACCAGAGTATGTACAACTGCAGTGGCTGGAGAGCACCCACATGCCCAGGACCATCGGTTCCACTGCATGTCAGAGAGTGTCTGTACGAGGAGCAAGTGTGGCAACAACCTACAACTGCCAAGCTGGTGGGACTGCGAGAGGCGACTGTGCTTCCGGCTGGGGCAGTGCCACTGAAAAGGGATCCCCACTTCTGATAAGCAGCAGGAGTAGGGAAACAATAGGTGATTTGATGAAAGCTGCTCTATGATACTCCTGAGAAGCCCCACAGCCAGCCCCAGCCAGAGAGGAAATTGGGGGTTTCCACAGCAACCTGCTCAGGGCACAAAGGCCCAACTGTCTAGAGGAAGCAATGGAGGTGTCTCAGCACACTCCTTTTAAGAAGGGACAGGGGTGGAGGGCTGGAGGCTTTCTGAAGGTAAAGTACCTGTGAGAGCATTTTTGTACAGCAGGAGTTCAACTGGCTATCTGTCCTAAACCAGGGAGGAGCAGTGCTGGAGGAGAAGGAAGCAGTTGCTGCCATCTTTAGCCTAGTTCAATAGTAGGGGCTTCACAAGTGGAAAAAAAAGCCGCAAGAAAAGCATGGCACTTGGCTCCCTAATCTTATTGATTATTATTATATAGCCCATGACACAGAAAGCAAGAATAATAACCAAACCAGCAGAGAGAAGTAAGAAAGTCTTCTCATGGGCACGTAGGACTGAAATGAAAGAGGAGGTGGGAGGGAAAAATAAAAACAACAAACACATTTAATTTAAAATGGGGAGGCTTATAATTTATTTACACAAATAGAAACAAAAATAGAAACATCTCTGGAGAAGGAAAGAACCAAAACACTGTCTGGAGGTTGATCAGTCTGTGATAATTAATTCATCCACACCCCAGTCTTCATAGCTCCCGTCCGGTAGGTAACGACGGATGATTATGGGGATCTTGCGTGCTCTGAAGGGAGGACAGAGAGGTAAGCAGCAATGCCAGAGCCTTCACTAAACCACTTCAGCAGACAAAGGGAACTTAGTGTCTCCAGTAAGCTCATCAGGTTTAACTGAGAGATCTGTGTAGCAAAAGTGATTTAGTATGATATAGTAAAGGGAAGTCCCAATAACCTTCTCTCTTTTGTAGGTGCAAAGCACTGAGTACCCTTAGACTCAAATCTACCAAAGACCTAGAGAAGGTCAGCTCTCTGTGGCCACTGCAGAAATTGAGCCCTGTGATCTGAACCCACTATGGAGACAACACCAAGCATCTAACACAGATATAGGGGGGAAAAAAAAAAAATCAAGGGACTTGAAGAACAAATCCACTTTTTGTTTGACGGAAGATTTTTCCTCACAAGACATTACAAAAGCCGCAGAATTTTAAGAACCTTCAGAACAAACTGATATTTACAGAGTATTTTGCATCCCGAGAGCATCAGTTACATTTTAAGAAAGATAAATTAAATATGGACTATTCAGGCACCAAAACCTTGTACAGCTGAGATGGAGCACAGCATCTGCCAACAGTACTTCCAATGAGAAAGCAAGAAAATGCTGAACACAATTTAACTTAATGGAAGTAGATATTAAGTCAGCAGAATGTAATCAGACAGTCTGGAATCTACCCAGGGCATCAGGTTTCAACCATATCAGACCTGAAAAGTAACACAATTTCTCTAATGATCACATTCAGGGCTGTTGTTTTTCCAGTAGCAAAGTAGCTCCCTCATGCAGAGAATCACAACTGAATTTTGGCACAGAACAGGATGCCACTATACTTTGTGACACCCTGACTTACTTTCTAGAGCTCACGCTCAGACAGTGACCAGAAGCAACTCAGGCTGAGCTTGGACATCTGACAGGAGCATAACCTAAGGAGCTTTAGGCAATGATAAAGGGAACTGTAATGGATATGAAATCTGCAAGAGCAACTGCAATGCACTGAGAAACCAGGGGAGCAGAGGGACAATTCAGTTCAAGAACAGGGACTTCATCAGTAATAGAGTCCAGTTGCTCTGCTTGAAGGATACCTGCATGTGATCTAGGTCATCGACCATGCAGGCAAACCGTGGGCCAGCAGGGAGCTCTGCTGTGGAAAGGTGGGCCTGTAAGTAGTCATCCAAAAGCTGCCTCTGCTACAGTCATAAAGGATTTATTTCTCTTTCTGTAGGCAGGGGACATACCTCCCCACAAGCACAATAAGCCAAGTGTGCAAGAGTGCAGGAAAAGAACATTTGTTAATAGGGCCTCCACATCATCAGCCTAACCTTTATTTTATTTTTTGCCAGGACTTCATCTGAACACAGGTCTGTTCAGATGGTTTCTTCAAACCAGTTCCATGTAGGGAATTAAACTGATTCCAGAAAATGAGGACCTTGGGTTCTCATCACAGAAAAAAATAACACTTGGACTCCCAAGTAAAAGAGGTCAGGAGCACCCCTATCATCAGTACTTCGCATGAGCAACTAGGATGGGAGGGAGCAGCTGCGAAGAAGTCCCAAGGTGAAAAAAGGGAAGGTGACTGTTGTGCTCACTGTTACTGATGGAGGACAAGATTGTCTCAGAATAAGCTGCTAAATCCTGGGATAAGGAGAGGACTGACTGCTTTATGGAAAACAATACACTCACCGTGAATGTCTGGGACTTACTTGAGTTCTTTCATGGCAATTAGCAAGGGGTCTGTCTCTCCTTCCAGTTCCACCATCACAGGGGCACACATCCTGGGACAGAACAAACATTTGAGTGAACAAACAGAGAGGGGAGAGGGACAGCTAAGCACATGCCTACCCATGTCACCTGTACAATGGCCAGTAAAGCAGGAGGGTGGGACACCACCTTGGCAAATCTGATTTGCTCTCTTATGCACTTCGGGGAAAAAAATTCCTCCAAGTGGTTACGGACTGAGCTGCTACTTTAACGTTCTTCGTGCCCCACGCTTCAGCCTCTGCTGACTAGCTGGTGCTGAAGAACTGGTCAGATCCACACCCTTCCAGTCATCCTCTGCTGTACTTAAACTTGAGTCTGAAATTAATCCAATGAAGAGAGTGGAAACACTGTAAAATGAGCATGCCTCCTACAACTTCAGCACAGCTCTTATGTTCAGATTTGCTCACACATTCCAAGCTCTGTTTGGGGGGAAGCAAGGGGCTGGATTTATGATGCAGTCTACCCATAGGGAGAAAAAATTAAGCATTTTGCAAAAGGTTGTAACAGCAGAGCAAACATGGGTGATGATATTCGCCCATTAGACAGCATCATCAAAGAAAGTTCACGTTATGCGTGGATAAGGCCACTGGGGGCTGCTGCTGGCCTAGGTTCAGCACCGAAGGCAGGATATGTAGGTGAAGCAGAACCATGTTTTGGATTAAAGGCCTGGCATGGGCCCATCTTGCCTCCCCCATTTTTCTGGCCTTCCACCAGTTGAAAGAATGTGCACAAAATAGCTTCACAAAGCAAAAACTGTGCAAAGAATAGCTTGGCAAAGTGATGATTAAGGAAAGATCTGATCACCACCTACGAGCTTCTAAATGATGTAGAAGAGAGGCATTATTTTGAGGGTGGATATAGCCAAGATGAAACTCAGAGACATGCTTTAAGACAAATCTTGCCACAGCCTAATAATCTCACCCACAAGGCAGTTTTTCAAAAAGCACAAAACTTTTTAACATGTATTATTAAAACACATCTAAACAGGTAAATGGGTTAAGTTGAGGGCAGCCAAATTTAAGAGTACTTAAAATAAAATAGGATTTAAAGATTATTACCTATTACAAACGAGGCCCCACTACTCCAAATACTTTTAAAAACTTACAGCTTGCCACAATGCACCTACATTTAAAACAGATTCCAGGCTGGTTACTCCATGCCCAATTCCCACAGCCCTGTGGTATCAACTGAAGACGTTCTGGAGCATCCCTTGCTCCAGCATTGGCTTTTGCAAACCAGTTCTGAGCTTTCCAGCCCACACTGGCTCCTTTATGAAACACAGAAACTAGGATCAGCTTGTCACCCCTTCTAGGTCCGGTTGTCCCCCCCCCCCCCAACCCCAATAATTTTGCCTGTGACCAAGGAAGTTCATTGCACCTGCTGAATGCCCCCCTTTCCAGGCACAAGTACAACTGCTCTAGCCAGGGAGAGATACAGAGACTTCACATGCAACTAAGAGCTCCACGGTCCTGTGCTTCAGTATTGACCAAGATGGTGATCCGCAAGCTCAGCAGTCATGTAAGGGACTACACGGGATACAGGAGTTTTTAAGGAAGGAGGAAAGCAGCTTCAACAGAGAAGGGAGAAGAAGCTGTGGTGACTAACGCTCAGGACACAGAGTGAAATACTCACGCTATTTGGAGGGCGCGAGTGCCCAGGACT